ACATCGATGACGAGTGAGGATATCATAAAGTAATCGTTGATGCTGCGCTACACTTTGATAAAAATTATAATCAAGTTGACTGGTGTGTACATTACTACAGTGAACATGTACATGATCATGCCCTAATAATCAAATGCCGTAATGTCAAATACTAATTTATTATTGTGTGATGAATTTAACTTGATCAGTGGTAACATGTGATATTAATATTCCATCAATTTCTTTCCTGGTTGGTCCATCCATGTCTACAAAATGAAAATAATACAATTAAAATGGAGCATAGAACAATTCTTAATTTCAGGCTAGAGCTGTGGAAATCTAGACTTTCCCAATCATTATAGACTTGGGTTGGTCTCATGTTTTACATTATTCTCTTGGGTCAACGTCACAGCTCATACCATACACTAACAAGACCAGATTGCCCCCCGCCGGAGCGCCTGGATTTTGGTTATATCATCTAACATGGCCAACTCTGCTCTTAAGTAAACAAGAACCTAATCAGCGAGGGGTCCTTTATCATCCCTATGTGGCTGCTTATAAAAATCTGATATCTTTTCCCAAAGACCTGGTTAATAATATATTTTCTGCTGAATATTCGAAACAAATAGAGTGAGTTGGTACTACATGTACATATGTATACGGTTCTATTTTAAATGACTGCAGCGCTCCATTATGAAAACAATTTGTTTTAACGCCGCTCTCAGCATTATTCCAGTGATATATGACGGCGGTCTGTTGTTTATGAAATATATGCAAATTGAATCTTGAATCTTGAAAGTTGTAACATTTCCGCAAATAAGTATCACATGCAGTATACAGTATATCAACTGCAATATACTGTACACATCAGTATACAGTGTGTCGCGAGCTCTGCGCTGGGCTGGAGCACACATTTCCTACACCTCTCCCTTCGGCAAACACATCACGAGAGTTGCAACGAGGTCACAGGTCAGGCGTGCACTCGTCAGTTGTCTAATACGGTCAAGAGTAAGATCTTCCGGAAGACCACTGCACTGGAGATATGTGGATTATTGAGGAGGTACTACGTGTTTGGAACTGGGAGTTGAACACTAAGCACTTTTAGAGGAGAGCTCACAATAAAACGTTATGGACTCGCGGACGGACTTGTGTTTTCATTTCAAGACGTACATTTATCAGGTTGAACTTCCTAACTGTAACAATAACTGAACTTTACGCCTTTTATACACATTTGTGATGGGGCGACAATGCGACAACGAGACATATTTTGACCTTGAAAATGTCGCGTTACGGCATCGTCGCCCTTTTGTAAAATAAAGAAAAGGATTATCAAAGAGCGACAATGCGAACACGCGACAATGCGACAAATGGCCAATTGTCGCGCTTTTGTTAATTTTGACACGTTTTGCTTGTTTTTGTAAAGGCGTCAATGCGACAATGCGGCAACGAGACAATGTCCTCTCCATAGTAATCCGTGCAAATAAAACTGAGTAATGAAATAGAAGTCTGACATGCCAGTTAAAAGATAGAGTGTTGCAGCTTCTGATTTCATAGATCTTCAAGAATGGTTATCAATAATGGGATGGGTGATTAGTTCAACTGCATACGCTGTGATTCACAATAATGCTCCGAGTCAATACATGTTGTCAAATGTATGACATGTATTACGTGAGTGAACATATTGTTTATACTCGTCCATGTTTTTGACGGACAAAATAATTTACATGCTCGGTAAAACTGAGGACGGGCATCATTGTGTGTTTCCGTGCTTTGTTCAGGTGAACAATTGACTTGTCCTTGCATGTGTTTGTGACGGGTGCTACTTGTGTGGCAGGATACGCTCACCTTTTCCCGAACACCCATTGGATGACCTGAACCACTTCGGATTTTTTATCCCACATCAGTCTGATACACCATGATATAACTGAAATACTGAAATACTGTACAGTTGAAAATGATGTTTAATGCGATTACCGTAGTGTGTTACTGCAACTGTTCATATTTTGTGCAGTGATGTTATGTAATATGTAAAAGAAAGCATATTCAATTATCCAATTGATTTGAATAGAATATACTTGCGTCAGTGTATTTTATTAACGCCCCAAATCGTAATTTAAACACATAAAATAACAGATCACGCATGGTGCCTTGACTTACTACTAGATTTAATGGGCCACCCCGGAATAAAATAGTTCCCCCCAAAGCGAGGAACATATGTTTTAGTATGTTTACAAGAAATATATTCCAAACAATATCCTCATTAGATGAGAAGATCTTTTACAGAATTACCTCAGTAAGTCAATTACAATGACAGAGCGTCGTAATACATTTACATCAAGTACAATACGTAAAAATGGCCGACACGATAAACGTGACGGGAGATATTTTCGAAGTTGTTAATTAACCTGTGGCTGTTTCAAGCCTTTGGCATCACTGATCAATTGGCCGATCATTGAAAGGTGATTGTGAAGATGTGTCAAATAGATACTAAGGTAAATTTATAGATTTCTGTAAATTGTCACTGCAACAGTTTGGATTTTTTTTCGTGTTTTTTCTTTCTGGGATGGGTTGTAGCGAGGGTATCCTTAAATGGGCTTGCAACCACGCTTCTGTATGAATTCGTACCAGGGAATTCCAAGGGTTTTCCCCAGGAATGTGGAAGTAGTCAGTGTTTACGCCTTTTCAAGAATACAGTCACGTGAAGAACGTCATGTGACCGACCTCTCGTCCAAGTCGTATATCTTGTAAACTTCACATTAAAAAATTAGTTATTGTTATAACCAAATGAAACACAACCAATTATCCGATAGGGGTAACTGTACATAGCCGTTACCACAATAAACTTAGTAACATTGTTTGGTTTGACTTCTTGGCGCGTGTCTGAATTCCATTTATATGTAACATATCCTAAAACTAGCTTATCAGCAAATCTCGCTGCACTGCGCGCGACAGATACTAGAGCAAGGCATGCCATAAATACGAAACCTAAAGCTTCCGAAAGGAAGCCTTGGACATCACGTGCGTCGGGGGACCAGCGCCATCTGATTGGCCGTTAACAGTTGTACAAGGCAGAGCAAAAAGCATCGTTTTTGCGTCCATTTTACGCTTGAAAAACTCGACCCTTTTCTGGACACTTTCTAGACGCTTACCAATTAATCATTTTTAATGAATTTTTAGTCGTTTTTCCGTCCAATGACCATATACGGAAAAAACGACGTTTTCGTGTTTGCAGTGAAATAGCCATGGTACTAGGTGTTCGCGAAATTATGAGCGTATCCTGCCCCACCAGTGGCACCAGTCACAAACACATGCAAAGACAAGTCAACTGTTCACCTGTGTGTATTTTACGTTCTGGGCCTTAGCAACGTTTCTACTCCCGATAGACAGTACTATGTAGTCAAACTACGCATACATCTGAAAACTGTATTTTTGACATAATTTACTTTAATATGACACGTCCATGTTTTTGCTGTTGCCTATGATCCATCGCAGAACACGCGAAACAAATAAGTTGAGTATACACCTAGTAGTTGTTCATAGCATTGTGTCATTATAGAGGTCCATAACATCGCTACTAAACAAGGTATTATGTCTAAAGGGTATCACAGCATTCATCACCGCGTTTCCTCCCGACCTTGAACTTGAGAGTAGCGCCCCTTGGACCAAGTGAACAATCGTTAGAAATGTCGTCCTCATGCCAAAGGATGGAACATCGTGTCGTGAATATTATTCGTAACAGATGCTGCTATTTAAATTTCATAGCAGAGAAACCATCTGCTGACGTATATGACATCACAGGCGATCATCGTGCGGACTTTTCTCAGGTTCATCAACATTGAACCGAGTTTGAAGCCAGATTTCCCGTAGAATGCAGATGTGGATGCTTGTGTATATACATGCTATTATCAACATGCTTTTAGAATCGGCATCTTATCCTTTCTTATCATCGCCTTCAGAGAAAACTTCATACGGTATCGCCAGTGTGTTCCTTGCGTGAACAGTATGGTCGAATCATCAGTTCCGAATGTTGTATCAATACACCACCACCTTAATACTGACAATAGCAGCTGTTTTCAAGGTTGAATTTCGATAATGTGCAAAGCTAGATACCGTTTTTATTGCAACTCGTGTTTTTAACCACAGGCGTTAATATAACATGTGTCTGTGGGTTCCGCCCGTGGAGTAGGATATGCTCAAGTTTTCGAGGTTTTCCCAGTGAATCATAAACACCTGCTCATGACATTCGACATGTATTCTTGTATGAATGAGGAAAGTGTTTTGTCGCGTTTATTTACTTATTTATAATTACAATTTTCTTGTATCATTCAAACATCAATAAAATAAAACCAAATGACCATATGACATGACTCGCCTCTCGTCTACACTTCACAGAACTTGATATTATGAAGCTATCTTGTTTATTTGAGTGCAGATGTTAGTAACATGATAATATTTGTGATTTGTAATGTCTTGTGAACATGAAGTGAGTATCTGCATCTTATCTCTATTCATAATCACTTATTGACAGGTTCCTCATTATGAGAATAGTACACAGTAGCATTAGCAAAGCATGATGTCGTCATAGGCGCCGTGATTCGCTGTGCAGAGTTGCGTCCCTTGGGCACACCAGAAACCTTTGGTTGTGGGTTTCAAATCCCGGTTCGCCCCGATTATGTTTCTAGGTTTGTAAGCACCATACCTGTGCTCGTGGGTTTCACCAAAGTGGTAAACGTCTGAGACCTGCATCACTTCGGGCTTTCCTCCCACATTAAGCTGACACGCCGCGATATAACTGGAATAAGGTTAAAAGCGGCGTTAAACCCAACTCACTCACTCAGTCACCCACTCATATGCCAACCATATACACTTGGCGTTTTTCTCCATTTTGAAGAGAGGTTGTTTAGTTTATATGAGTTCAGAATGACAATAGTAAGTCCACATAACCACAGTACGGAACCTCTTAAGCACCTGTTAAAGACCGTATCTGTCTTATGTATTTATACATCTACCACAATACTCACAATAGACAGTAAACGTCTGTGTCACAGTCTCATTGTATCCTCCATACATCCATGATGCTCCACACTGACACTGTCCGGAGTTCTGGTGTTTAGTGACCAGGAAGGTGAGTGAGGATGTCTTGGTTCCCTCACTGCTGGACTCAATGCCTGTGTTGCTGGTGTTGTAACAGGACCACGTGATGTAAGCCAGAGGGTTGCCTCCTGTCACTGTGCACCTGATGGTCTTCAGGACTCCAGCATACATCACAGAGGGGAAATCCTGGACTGTAGGGCGGCCTGGAGGTGGGTCTGTAGAATCAAAAGAAGAGCATCATGTAAGTTTATATATACATCACAGAGGTGAAATCCTGGACTGTAGGTCGGCCTGGAGGTGGGTCTGTAGAATCAAAAGACGAGCATCATGTAAGTTTATATATACATCACAAAGGTGAAATCCGGGACTGTAGGGCGGCCTGGGGATGGGTCTGTAGAATCAATAGACGAGCATCATGTAAGTTTATATATACATCACAGAGGTGAAATCCTGATGTGTTGACCGGACAGGGAGGGTGTGGTCTGTAGAATCTCACGTGGAGATCTAACATTAAAAGAAACACACTTCTAAACAGATAAACATACAATGGAGAGGTTCATCGCAAAGCCCCTTTGATAAGATCTCGATAGTATCAAATCTCTGTTTGGTAGTTATCGAAAAGTCTTGCATGGAGAGAATGAGCCTACATTGTCAACACTGTCTGAACCCGACGGCGACGATTGTATGGTAAATGATACATTGTAGTTTACTGAAATATTTGGTATCCAATATGGTAGACATGATTTAATGTTTCATAGCAGACTTTGGCCTAATATACTCTAGCCCCTGTGTACATGGTTAAATGGCGTAACATAATACATGTGTATCAGTGCAAGAACTGGACGGGATCTAAATCAACTTACACTTGATATTCCCGAGTGACGTCTGTGGTTGAGAAATATGAGCATATTGAGTATATAAACACAAATACATGTGTATCAGTGCAAGAACTGGACGTGATGTAAATCAACTTACACTTGACATCCCCGAGTGACAGAGTCTTGGTGACCGCCACTGCTGTCCTGGTGTTTCTCACACTGCACCTGACATCTGTCTTGCTCCTGACAGGACGGAATGTCCGAGTCTGAGACCACGTGGTACCCGCTGATCCTGTCACAGATCCTGTACTTCCTCCTGCTATGCCAGACCCATCACTGTAGTCCCAGGTGAAGGTCACTCCAGGAGATACAGAGGTCAAGGTCTCACAGGTCAAGGTCAGGTCACGGTCCTCTGCCACGACGATGTTTGCTGGTTTTGTTACTCTCACCTGGTTTGTGTCGGGTCCGTCTGATGACAAGAATGTAGAACAATCAAGGCTGTAATGACTAAATATTTATATGTTGGTGTAAGGCCTTTTGAAAGAATATTTACAGTGTGTAAATGTTGTTATGATTTTAATGTTTTTACACTATAGTTGCAATACACCAAATTCTTGGTATCACTAGTATCAACCATTCGGAATTGTAAAATGCAGTTGCACTCTCGTTACTTTACATTTAACATTAACCACTCAACACCACATAGCACCGCACGCATTGACATATGTATTAAAGGTAAAGATCCTCTGACCGTGAATTGCTCATATGTCATAATGCGTTAAAAACGACTGGCGATCGGGTAGCCTAGTGGTTAAAGCGTTCGCTCATCACGCCGAAGACCCGGGTTCGATTCTCGACATAGGTACATTGTGTGAAGACCATTTATGGTGTCCCCCGCCGTGATATTGCTGGAATATTGCTAAAAACGGCGTAAAAACCATATTCAATCACTCGTTAAAAACGTCCTCAAAACGTCTAAACCGTGAAACCGTTAATGCAGAAATGAATTATGGTTCTGCATTATGCCTAATTATTGACACTATTCATTATATAATTCAAGCACATTTCCATATAATCATTGAAACATTTCAATAAATGCATCATGTTATAAAGTAATAAGAATAAATGAATGCATGATGTATTGTAAATGGGTAAATTCAAGCGAGTACATATCTAATTAACAGTGTATCATAAACACATGCATACATGTATGTACACAGCAACTTTTTGCCAGAAGTGTTCTGTATAGAATTCCCATCTGGTGACTGTAATATTTTACTATATTCCTTTTAGATGATACTTACCATATGAATACACACGAGGGTAATAAGCTCCCTAACATGTTTGTTATGATAATTGACATTCAAGACGCACGTCTTTCCCGCACAGAGTGAACCTCCCCAAGTATTATTTGGTTCAAAATGATTAGTAGACTTGTTTCTTCACAAAACACATAGATTTCACATGGGAATATAGACAAATACAGGACAATATGACATTGTGGACTGTAATTATGCCTTCTTGTCGGTCGCATTTGAGCAGTTATGGTGAGAGCAAGCCAGACAAAACAATCACGCGCTTCCTACTGTTTCGCTGTATCTTCCACCGTCTGAGTGTGGAGACATTCGACTCGTTTGCATGTTATGATCCACTAATTCAAACTAAAGTTATTTTCACGCTTGATACCCTTTTCTTCATGTCATCGTTTCATAGCTGTGAGCTCTCATTCCCCATCCTTTGCAACGACCGGTAGTCATATTACTGTATCAATTACGCACTTATGTGTGTGTGTGTGTGTGTGTGTGTGTGTGTGTGTGTGTGTGTGTGTGTGTGTGTGTGTGTGTGTGTGTGTGTGTGTGTGTGTGTGGCTCCTTGTGCTTGTCCGGACCGATTTATAGTGCTGGCCCACTGAGATACCATGCAACAGTTGAACATGAATACCCTACGCAGACACAGTATACCGACTCCGAGCCGACCAGGCATTATTTGTTGTCCCTTAATACCGTGGTATTATGCACTTTAAATGCTGCATGCAGTTGAATATGTTGGTGTTAAGAAAGGCTTTAGGAACTAGCGTTATAGAATGTTCATGAGTGAGAGAGTGAGTGAGTGAGTTTTTCGCTGTTTTCAGCAATACCCTAGCTATTTCACGGGTCGAGACACCATAACTTGGTGTCACTCACCGTCTTCTTGAGGAAAATCAAACTGGGGTCTTTTTGCGTAACGAGCGAACGCTTTAACCACTTGACTACCCAACTGCCTCATATATTCAGGACATTTTAATGTGCACTTTCGTGAGGGCCGGTCAAACAATAGAATCGAACTCTTTAAGTGTTTTACTGTATCATGCAGTTTACCCTATGTCTCATCAAAGTAAGACCGCCTTCATGGTCTAGTGAATTAAGCGCCTGTCCATAGATCGCAAGCCGGTGCTTCGTTCCCCCCGCGTCATACCACCAGTGAATAATTGGATAAAACAAGGACTATTCGACTCTGACACAGTATACGGGAGTTCGTATGGAGTCTAGCTATTTGTTTCAGCTAATCTGCAATACCAGACATTTTTTTTTAATTAGAACTATGAGCCTACATGTTGTTTTTTAGGGAAAACAGATTGCAACAATGTATTTTTTGTGGCTGACAGTCAGAAACACTATCAATTTTTTCAAGCATTTTCTCGAGCATTTTATTTCAGAAAATAGAATACAACATGGTCGGTCCCTAACACTTGGCTTACATTCTCAAAAACTCCTTATTGTACTTGTCATTTTAGCCTTTCGGCTAACTTTAACCGGGTGTTGAAAACAGGTTATTATCGACATCAGTATAAAGGTGTGTGGGATAATATATACATTATTTTATATACAAAGATTCGGGTAGTATTTCATGTTTTTGGCCATTTCATGAAGCTTGACTTTCACATAAAGAACAAATAAAGCGAAGTGGGAATTGGACCTACATGTATTAGGTTATCTATAGTATAAGTTATATTTGAAATTCTGTTTCACAGTTCGGACATATTTTGAATAAATCGAAATGTGCTGTAACAATGAAAAAATCTGTCTTAGGAAATGGCACCCTTTCATCTCTGCCTTCCGCCTTTCTAATGTACCATGCTTAACTTTCTGCAAGAAGCAAAGACAATGTAAGGTCGAGTTTGATATGTGTTCAAATAGTCCTTGTTTTTTAAGTCACTTCCAAGACGAAGCTATGCCAGCGAATGAATACAGGTACCATACTACACCAGGTTATTAAACAGAAGCAACGTGTGATGTAACAAATATCCCAGTTACAGATACTCTCCAGTTGTTCACAAACAATGACTTTATGAACAGTACGCTTGATTGAGATTGTATGATTCATAATGAAATTGAAAACAATAACAACATACTTGCATGTCATGGCTATGTAGTCTACGCCTACCTACACCATAAATCCTGTGTGGCTCTGTTAGCCTGTATCTACTTACACCAAACCTCCAGTGTGGCTCTGTTAGACTGTGTCTACTTACATCAAACCTCCAGTATGGCTCTGTTAGACTGTGTCTACTTACATCAAACCTCCAGTATGGCTCTGTTAGACAGTGTCTACTTACATCAAACCTCCAGTGTGGCTCTGTTGGACTATGTCTACTTACATCAAACTTCCAGTGTGGCTCTGTGAGACTAGGTCTATTTACACCAAACCCCAAGTGTATATCTGTTACACTGGGTCTACCTGCAACAAACATCCAGCGTTGCCCCATTAGACTATATCAACTTACTGTCTACTTACACCCCACCTCCAGGGAGGCTCTGTTAGACTATGTCTACTTACACAAAACCTCAAATGTACATGTACCTCTTTTAGACTATGTCTACTTACATCAAACCTCCAGTGTACCTCTGTTAGGCTGTGTCTACTTACACCAACCCTCCAGTGTACCTCTGTTAGACTGGGTCTACTAACACCAACCCTCCAGCGTACCTCTGTTAGGCTGTGTCAACTTTCACCATACCTCCAGTGAGGCTCTGTTAGACCGGGTGCACTTACATCACAACTCAAGTGTGGCTCTGTTAGACTGTGTCTACTTACACCCCACCTCCAGGGAGGCAATGTTAGACTGTGTCTACTTACACCAAACCTCCAGTGTGACTCTGCTAGACTGGGTCTACTTAACCAACCCACTAGTGTAACTCAATTACCTATTATGTTACACAATACCTCCAGTATGGCTCTGTTAGACTGTGTCTACTTACACCCCACCTCCAGGGAGGCAATGTTAGACTGTGTCTACTTACACCAAACCTCCAGTGTGATTTTTCTAGACTAGTGTAACTCAATTACCTATTATGTTACACAATACCTCCAGTATGGCTCTGTTAGGCTATGTCTACTTACACCATACCTCCAGTGTGGCTCTGTTAGGCTGTGTGTACGTTCGCCAAAACCCAAGTGTGTCTATGTTAGACTATGTCTACTTACACCAAACCTCCAGAGTGGCTCTGTTAGACTGTGGGGATGTCTGACCGTTGATGTTTTCAGCCTGACAGTGAATACTCCTCCCCTGGTCACTCCTACTGACAGTGAATGTGACGGAGCTTGTTGTCTTCACCAGGACACCAGATGTCGTCTCTGTGCTGACTGTAGGAGGGGTTCCTGATGGCAAGGTCACCCAGGTCACAGAAGATGTAGGGAAGCTGGCTGAAGTCACACAGGTCAAGGTCAGGGATTGACCCGCTGCTTGTCTTATCTTCTCATTATCAGAGCTGATGTTTGTCAGTGTCACAGAGGTTACCGGAACTGTAATAGCATGTTTTACTTGATCTCTGTGTCTTTGTGGTGGTATCTATTGTGCTACTATAATATGTTTCAGCTGTGATTTATGGTTTATGATTTATACTACTGTCTTACATTTTGCACGTGTTTATGGAATCCTAGAGGGACATTATCATGCTGTCGCATTGTCGCGTTCTCTCCCTGTTTGATTACTGGTGCGCATGGGGAGCAAGTGAACAAATCTACACAATCACATAAATGGTTGTATTTCTTTTCAAAACCCCAGTGGTCTTTTGCTCGCTCCAATGGTTCTTAACCCGAATTACCAATGGAAATGTGGGTTACTTTAAAACAAATACTTTTGAAGTTGTTTTACAGATTTGTATTGTCGGTGTTGAAATGTCGTTTGGTCACATTGTTGTGTTGTCGCACTTTGTTTAATTATTTTAAAATGCAGTAATTAATATAAGCGCGACTACGCAACACTGCGACATCACGACATGTTGATGTCAAAACGAAGTAAGTGTTCGCATGTGCTCTTCGGTATCAAATGAATTATTTGTTTTGATTGGCTGAATGTGAACTGGCTCTTAATCCTATCAATGAAACTGAATTGCACTTGGCCTTTGTTATTTTTAATATGTAAGTGTGTCAGCACAACTGGTCATTTTGCACAATGTGTCAGCAACAAGTACTGTAGAAGTCTTTCGT